TGAAGTGGTGGGGGGAGTGTCGTTTCTATAGTATTCTATGATGGAACTACAGTTTAACGCTTCTGGTACAAGTGCGATTTTAACGCCATCTATGATCCATTCTACGAAATATTAATACATCAGTGTCCAGCACGAATTAAGATATTGGCATTTGAAATTGCTTCATTCCAAGCAGTTAAATTAACCACATCTTTTGAACTTTTAAATAAAGTGTATTTTTTTCCCTCTGAACATCCCGTACAGCCATCCACAGAGCATTTTCTCGGCATTTTAGCGAATAATAAATGGATAATATAGTTGGTAAAATGTAATGTACATTAAATACTAAATGCTAATACCTAAGAGCTAATAGGTGCGTATAAATCACGGACTAAGATAGAGTCACAATAGAGTTATCTTAGTTTATCTTAGTCCGTGGTATAAATGTATTAAACTATTGTACCTAATTTTATTATAAACAGAAATAATATGCAAATAAATATATGTGTAACAAATGCTAAATATTATCAATAGATAGAGCCACATTTGTCCATGTACTACAAGCGTTACACTATGGTTCCGGCTACCCGCACTCCTCCCGTCTATCGTTTCCAGTCCTGTTTATCTTAGTCCGTGGTCCAACATAACCCCCCACTTATTAGTTATTTTATAGTGATTGTTGGCGAAATGCATGCGTAATAACTCGTTGTACCTTGAATTCAAATGGGTGGTGGGGATGGAATGTAAAGCAGCATAGGCGCAACGCATGCGCAATAACTCGTTGCACCTTGAAATTAAATGGGTAGTGGGGGGTTATGTTGGACACAGCTCGGTATACGAAAAATACACGCATAGCTCCATCCATTGTATATGATCTAAGATTGTTATATTCTGTGTTATTATCATAATATATCAATAATAATCACGATAAAGCAAAAAATTTCAAAAAAAAAAAAATAATAAGTAGTCACAAACATAATATAATTTCAAAAGGACACAAATCGTGTATTACTAATAGGTATGTAAGAAAATAAAGATCTTGGGGGGGGATCTATCCCCCATAATATTATCGATTATTAAATATTATTTATTATAAAAACTTTCGAAATCGTAAATAAATTGTATTGATTTTTAATGTTTCTTAAATATCCCAGCTCCTAGATTTTGTCATACATTCTATATTCATTATTTTATCTACCTATTTTGATAACGTGGAAAATAACACGTTATTCCATAGACATTACTTTTAAAAAGTAATTTCGTTATAATTGCGTTGATTTAAATAAATAATGAAAGTACTACAGGTTACAGCGTTATAGGTACCTAGGTACTGCAAAAGGAATTTCGTTACAATAATTTGTAATTAGAGTTACGTTAGTACGTTACTAGTGTTACTACCCAACACTGGACCTAGGTAATATATTTTGTAATTTATACCTACAGTTACGGGTTAGGAATGACGATATTACATTAGGTAGGTTTAACACATATTTGATTTAGTCTGAAATATCAAACGTGGCTTATTGTAAAAACGTTTTATAATCTTATCTATAACTTTAAACTTCTAATTATCGAACTTTATATAGGTAGCTGTAAATAATAATTCGACGCCGGGAAGCGTATTTAGCGTATTAGGAAACCCAGGACGGGAGCGCATAGAAAATCCGAAAATATTGAAAATATCAGACGAAAAATATTTTAGCCGAAACATCGTTTGTTGGACATGTATTTTATCAGAACAATATTTTAGCCGACAAATATTTCAGTCGGCAGTATTTTAGCCGACAAATAATTTGGATGATAATACTATAACCGACAGTATTTTAGCCTACAGTTTTTTAGCCGAAAAATAATTTGGCTGACAATATTATAGCCGACAGTATTTTAGACAAATATTTTGTCGGTCATGTATCACCTAGATCCCGGGTCTACTAGATCCTCAGGTTATCTATAATATCCCCCGTGGGGTAAACTGTTCCCCTCTCATCTAAATCCCCTTGGGCCATCAATATATTTAGATCTTATAGATCTCCATTGTAATAATTACAGTTCTCTTAGTTAAACGATTTTATTTCCCCCCTAAAGATCTAGTTGATCTCAAAATTAGTGATCTTATTGACCAACATTCTTTTATATACTTGATGATGAATGTGTAAATATACAACATTTTGTATCATTTTGATAAATTATAGATTTTGTAATATGTAACATTTTTTTTCTGGAAATTACGTCAATTTTTGACATGATTAATGATTCTTCAAATTATTGAAATTAAGAATTGTTATCTAGGTGTAGGTGTCTATCTACTATTATAAAAGAATTCGGCTAGGTTAGGTTAACCTAACCAGAAACCACGCTCTCAGAGTTTGAGATTGAATTATTTAAAATGTTCAACTAGTTATCAAGTACACGAGTACCGGAGTACAGACACACAAAAAAAAAAGAAAAATAACAAAAAGAAACCCGGGATAGTCGCTCTGCTGTACAGTAGGAGTCGAGTATACCTCGGCGCATTGAGTAGGTCACTGTGATGGATGTGTTAAATTAAAATTCATATGGTTGAATACGAAAAAATACGATTCTGAACGAAGATGATCTGTCAGCTTAGATTTTTAGATTCTGAACGGAGTGAAGATGTATTATGTATTGATTTTACAATAATGATGTGTTAATTCATTATTTTATTTTACTGTAACTCAAAAAATAATAACTCTAAATACATGAAATTTTCACCCAAAAATGTATAAAAGCATTGTATATCCATGATTAAATTTTCCAAGTATTTTGACTTTTTTTGAGGTATTAAATATTGGCTCTAAGAAAACAACACAAACAACTAAAATATCGTTGCCATGTACGTTAATGTTTCAAAAATCTACAATTCATATCTGTGTCACATAGTTACCACTTGTCAATATTCATTTCTTGTGTTCATTACGAATAAATTTCATTTCTACGTATTTCTGTATAATCTTCTCCGTTAATTCTGCCTATATAATATTATCAAATAAATATGTCATATAGATGTGTATCTATGCCTAACATGGCCGCGATGTGTGAAAATTCCTCAGCCAAATCGACAGATATTGGATGGCGATCAACGCCAAATCTGAAGTTTCAGCAGGTCACCAGCGATGTACGGAAACCGGAATCGTCGAAAAATTTTGATTCCAAAGATTTTCTGGACAGCAAGCTCTGTGTATCTGAGCCAAACATCCCCGTACATCCAAAATTAGCTGGCGAGACAGCTGCAGATATTGGGTGGCGATCAATGCCAAATCTGAAGTTTCAGCAGGTCACCAGCGATGTACGGAAACTGGAATCGTCGAAAAATTTTGATTCCAAAGGTTTTCTGGACGGCAGGCTCTGTGTATCTGAGCCAAATATCCCAGTACATCCGAAATTAGATGGCGAGACAGCTGCAGATATTGGGTGGCGATCAACGCCAAATCTAAAGTTTCAGCAGGTCACCTGCAGCGATGTACGGAAACCGGAAAGTCCGAGACACACACGTCCTCGTCGTTCATTTTGGCGACAGACAAAGAAATTTGTCAGGCGGTTCCTTTGTTGTTGTGGTTCTGTTGACAAGATAGACCAGTAATATGTATATTATAGAGTTTAAAAGTTTTTAAACATCCCCTCCTTTCCCACCGTTATCTCACTTTTGTGTTCGCTGGTACTATTCTGAAACCGTTTATCATGTCCTACATTGTCATTTGTACCAAGTTAGTGTAGGTTTGCCTCACGTATTTCATGTCTGTACCATCGTCGGCTCTTCGCCACCTGTTTTGTTCTGTATTAATTAAATTAATATTATTAATATTATTATGTTACTCATATTAAACGTATTATTATAAAGTATGTACTGTGTATTAATAGTTAATACCTATCTATTATATCTACCTCATTCGCTTTGCATAAATATATGTAATAATCCTATATGGTCACGCAGGTGGATATTGTATTGTCATCGATTTTCATGATAGTAAAAAAATTAAAAATTATCTATACTAAAGTTATTTACTTCACCTTCCGTTTAACCACCCCAAAATCGAGCCATGTACGGGTGCGCATAATATTTTTTTTTTTTTTTTTTTTTTTTTTATTAACATAAAGGCTTCAATTACACAGATTATTAGCCTGAAATTAAAAAAGTTTGTACATTATAATATTTACAGTTTTTTGTCAAGTTCTATTTTTTTAAAAAATTTGAAAATGATGTCGGAGTTCTGTTGACTGAGGGCTTCTTCAATTGACCTTGGATTGTTGAGCAGGAAACGTGCGGTTGAGAATTTGGGGCAGACAATAATGATGTGTGCCATTGTAAGGGGAGTTTTACATGTGTCACACAAGGGGGGGGGGTTTCCTTGGTTATCAGATATGAGTGCGTGATATGGGAATGGCCTATTCTGGATCTGTTTATAACTATTTGTTCTCTCCTTGATGCGTTCTCTGGATATGCCCATTTGGATATAGATTTTTTTATGTTTCTGAGTTTGTTACTGGAGGGAATTGAATCCCAGTGATTTTGCCATGTTTTTATAATCCGTTTGTGGGCTTCATTTATTAGGTCTTTACTCGGAATTTTATTTATGATGGTAGAGGTTGTGGATGTAACTGCTTCATTCGCCATCTTGTCGGCTTTTTCGTTCCCGGGGATACCTATGTGGGATGGGACCCCCATAAACTTAATTTTGTTTTTCGATGAGGAGATAAGGTCTTTGGTAAGTTGGATTACTTCATTTTGAGGATGCTGGTCTTGTAGTGAGATAAGGGCGCTGAGAGAGTCGCTTATTATAAGTGAATACTTATAGTCTGATTGTACGACGAATTGGACTGCCATATATAACGCATAGGATTCCGCTGTGAAGATACTGGAGAATGAAGGAAGTCAAAAAGTTTTAGCTTGCTGGCCGTCCACTATTGCGAAACCTGTTCCGTTAATACTTTTAGATGCATCTGTGTAGATAAGTGTGTAGTCGTAGTATAGGAATTCAACAGATTCGTAGAATAGGGCAACTATGGACGAGTTTGCAGTTGTGTTTTTGTTATATTTGAGAAGATCCGTATTAATATCTGGGGACCAAGTCCAAGGCGCTTGTATAGGAAAGAGGGACTTCTTGGTTAAATCTATATTAAGATTAATATTCTTTTTTATTCGATTGAAGTTTTCAAAGATTGTAGTGGGAGTCTTCGCTTTAGTATATGGAAAATTTTGGTGGAAGTTAGAGAAGGATATATGTTTTGGCTGGTTTGAAATCTTGATCATATATTTAATCGTGTTACTGTCACGAATGATTTGCAGAGGAGGTTCTCCGGCATTACATAATATGCTGGCCACTGGACTAGTTTTAAAAGAACCAGTGGCTAGTCTAATTCCTTGGTTGTGATCGGATCAAGTGAGGAGAGTATCGTAGCTTTGGCAGTGCCATAAATGACCGAACCATAATTCATGAGTGAGAGAATTAATGATTTGTATATTAATATGAGGCTATTCTGGTCAGAACCCCATGAAAGGTTTGATAAAGTTTTAATAATGTTCATTCTACCCATGCAACTAGTTTTTAATTTTTTGATGTGTGTTTTCCATGACAATTTGTGATCGAAGGTGAGTCCTAGGATGCGTAAGTTTTCCGAAAAATTTAATTGTGTCATGTTCAAGGTAATTGAAGGAGACGGTGAGTTTTTTTTTTTATTAAATATGATGCCTTGAGTTTTTGAAGGGGAAAAAATAAAGCCGGTCTTGGATGACCATAAGGCAAGTGTGTTTAAAGACTCTTGTAAGAGTTGGGAAGAGGTTGCTAGGCTTGTTCCACTGCAATATATGTTGCAATCGTCTGCAAAGAGTTTGTATTTGACGGGAGAGGGAAGATTGTTGCCAATGTCATTTATAGCTACCAAGAAGAGAGAGACACTGAGGGCTGACCCTTGTGGAAGACCGTTCTCGATATAATGTGAGTTGGATAGGGTATTTTGGATTTTAATCGAGCCATGTACGGGTGCGCATAATATTATATGAGCTATATATTATAAGTCCACGCCTCTTCGTTTCGACTAGTTACGAATTATATTATAGAATTTACCTGTTCGCAAACAGCTCGGTGTTATATGCCTGCGGATAATGTCATTTGTTCTGCATAGTGATATGGAAATAACCGAATACACACTGAAATAAACGTGCAACCATGTAGACGTCTCTGCGGCAAACACCGCGCCGTAAGTTTGAGCTTCAGTGGTAGGTTAACATTAATAGGTACTGTTAAAAATCGTGAGTAGTACTTAGAAGACGCTCCAGGCGTGTTATTTGCACACTCCACAGAGTCGGTATATTATACTGTAATACTATATAGGTGATCCGAGTTCTAATGCTGGACTCGATGGCGTATAATTGTACACCCCAATTTTTTGTATACAATAATATTTATTAAAATTAATAAACATATCATCATCCTAATTCACAATATTGTCCTAAATCCAAAAATGTGATTTTGGAATTAATTGTGATTAAAATTAAGGAAAAAACTGCATTGTATGATAAAGTTGTAACTGATAAATTGTAACATTTTATCCTCCATATGACATTGATTATTAGAAATGGTCGTACTCCGATGTGATGATTTTAACAATTAGAAAAAATCATAACTCCATATTAGAAAGGTAAAAATTATGAAGATAGGATATTTGCGAATTGAGAGATGAGATAGGAAATTTTCCTATGAAATGTTTTTCCTTTCTCCTGAAAACTAGTCAATATGGAGTTTAGTGATTTGCGAATTAAGATGACGATGATATCTGATTTCTAGATGTTTTTAAATATAATTGAAGACCACATTTTAGAACTTTTGAGATTTTCGTATTGCATTAGAAGTGTCCTTGTGGCGATATAAACTTCCGTTTTTAAAATACTTCCATTAAGAAGAACTTGAACGCTTAGACATTTTAGTTTTAAGTACAAAAGATATCCAAACCTATCTTGTACCGACGACTATGTAGTATTGGTTGACATACTATTATTTATCTTGAGAGTGATGAAACAGACAACTCACTGGAGAGTTGACGTTTCTGCGGAAAACACGTTTATCTTTGCATTTTCTATATATGGTAACATTTTCAAAATATTTTGATTTATTTTGAACTGTTTAGGGACATTTCCAGTTTCCAATTGTATTAGTTTTTTTTTTTTTTATGAATACCAATACAATTTTATTTGTTGAGTAAAAATACTTGAAAATTTGATAGAAGGCTCCTAGTATATTTTTTCAAAGGCAGATGAAAAATATTAAAAATCTTTAGTCACAGTTTTTTTTTTATAAGCATTTAAAGTTCAAAAGTTGACAAAATATTTAAAAATCACGAAAATTAGCAAATTATTTTGAGTTAAGAATTCATAAAACTTTTCTTTTTAAATCTAAGATTTTAAAATTGAATACAAGATTCCTTATAAGATTACCTTTATCATAAAAAAAATGTCGATAATAAAGTCAAATAAAATTTTTATGAGCGTTTGAAATTCAAATTTTTACAACATTGGATATTCACTCGATTTCTCATGTAGCGATTTATTTATTTTGTTGTAATTCAAAAACGAATAACTGTAGATACATGAAAATTTCACTGAATTTTTATATAAGCATTTCCTATACACCATACAATTTTGAAAATATTTTGACTCTTTTTGAGCTGTTTACGGACATTTTCAGTTTCCAATTTTTTTAGTTTTTTATTCTATAATATCAATTAAGTTTTATCTGTGTTGTCAAAAAGTGTAAAAATTTAAAACAAGGCTCCTGATATATTGTTACAATATCAGTTGAAAAATATTAAAAATACATAGGCTCAATTTTTAAAGATCGAATTTTGACAACATTTATCAAATTTAAAGTTGAATAATTATTTTGTATTTAAAAATGTATAAAATGTTCAACTTTTATATCTAAGGATTGAAAATTTACAACAAGATTTCATGTAAGTAGTTAATTCTGTTACCAAAAAATCTAAAAAATACACAAGCACTGTTTATTTTTATAGTTATTTTAAATTTAAATTTGGACGAAATTGCTTATTAAAGTTAATATTAACGATTTTGGTTTTTTATTGTAATTTAAAGATATTATTCGGGGATATAATATGAAACTGAAAAATCAAAAAATCTAATTATTATGGCCTATCCATACAATCTACGATAGTATAAGGAATAAGAAGTATGCTCAATGATAAGACTGTGCATATATTTTTTTTTTTAACATTGTTTTGTATATTATAATATACAGTCTTTTAAAGTATTCGAATAAATGTATTCGAATACTATTCTAAATACTTTTTTTTTAAAGTATTCGAATACGTATTCTGAATACTTTTATTTGTATTTTTTATTCATTACAAAAATACTTTTTCCGATCCAGTAAAATAGTTTTAAATTTGTGACAAGACATCTTATAAATCATGAACATTAATTTTATTCTTTGAATGAAATATAATTTTGGCCCATGATATGATTATTTTTATAAATACCAATGTGTTTTATCACGTATAGTTTGTATCGGCCGTATCATATGTGGTCAAAATTTATAAATAGCTTATGATTACAAAGTAATTTTAATTATTGATTAATAAATGTTAATTAGTAATTACCAACCATTCAGGTCCTTACTGCAGTATGTATTCTTGAATGAGCATTGATATTCGAGCACAGCTAATGCCAGAATACATACCGAAGAAAAAACTAACAATAATGTTTTTTGTTTACATGAAGTGGGTTTACTTGAGTATTCCTTACATTTAAATCAGTTATAAACTATTATTACACAGAACGCATTAGTAAGGTCGTACTCCAGTATGTATTCTTGAATGAGCATTTATAATCGAGCACAGCTTATGTCAGAACACATACCGAAGACAAAACTTACCTATGAAAGATCGCATTAGTAAGGTCCTTACTGCGGTATGTATTCTTGAATGAGCATTTATAATCGAGCACAGCTAATACCAGAACACATACCGAAGAAAAAACTTACAATCAGAGAAATGGCATTAGTAAGGTCCTTACTGCAGTATGTATTCTTGAATGAGCATTGGTAATCGAGCACAGCTAATGCCAGAACACATACCGAAGAAAAAACTTACAATCAGAAAAATAGCATGAATACCTATGAATGATCGCATTGGTAAGATCGTTACTGCAGTATGTATTTTTAAATGAGCATTAATAATCGAGCACAGCCCATTTAAGAACACATACCGAAGAAAAGACCTACAGTAATGTTTTTTGATTACATGAAGTGGGTTTACTTGAGTATTCCTTTAAGGTCCTCACTAACGTATTTTATTCTTGAATGAGTTTTGATAATCGAGTTCAGCTCATTTGAGAACACATTAAAAAGAAAAAACTTACATAAGAAAGATCGTATTAGTAAGGTCCTTACTGCAGTATGTATTCTTGAATGAGCATTTATAATCGAGCACAGCTAATGCCAGAACACATACCGCAGAAATAACTTACAAAAGAAATATTGCATTAGGAGGGTCCCTACTCCTGTATGTATTTTTGAATGAGCATTGATAATCGAGCACAGCCAATTTAAGAATTCATACTTAAGAAAAAGCTGACAATAATTTTATTTGTTGAGTTGATGAGGGTTTATTTGAGTATTCTTTCCATTTAATTATGTTATAAGCAATTATCCCAAAGATAGAATTAGTAAGGTCGTTACCCCAGTATGTATTCTTGAATGAGCATTTATAATCGAGCATATTATGACAGAACACATACCGAAGAAAAAACTTACATAAGAAAGATCGCATTAGTAAGGTCCTTACTGCAGTATGTATTCTTGAATGAGCATTGATATTCGAGCACAGCTAATGCCAGAACACATACCGAAGAAAAAACTAACAATAATGTTTTTTGTTTACATGAAGTGGGTTTACTTGAGTATTCCTTACATTTAAATCAGTTATAAACTATTATTACACAGAACGCATTAGTAAGGTCGTACTCCAGTATGTATTCTTGAATGAGCATTGATATTCGAGCACAGCTAATGCCAGAATACATACCGAAGAAAAAACTAACAATAATGTTTTTTGTTTACATGAAGTGGGTTTACTTGAGTATTCCTTACATTTAAATCAGTTATAAACTATTATTACACAGAACGTATTAGTAAGGTCGTACTCCAGTATGTATTCTTGAATGAGCATTGATATTCGAGCACAGCTAATGCCAGAATACATACCGAAGAAAAAACTAACAATAATGTTTTTTGTTTACATGAAGTGGGTTTACTTGAGTATTCCTTACATTTAAATCAGTTATAAACTATTATTACACAGAACGTATTAGTAAGGTCGTACTCCAGTATGTATTCTTGAATGAGCATTTATAATCGAG